CACTCTAAAATCTAAAAGACTTAAAAACAAAAGTTGTTATCTCATAAAGTTTTGCTGAGTGACACTTATCTGTAAAAATAATTACTTGTACCTGCTAAGAAATCAATTATGTATATTGCTGCTGAAATGTTCAGTTTTTGTGGTGCGAGTAAATCCATTTTTTTTAATTATTTCTGCCGCGCAAAACCGTTGACAATTCAAACAGCCGGTCAACGCTTTTTTTATTTGTTTCAAATCAATATAAAGTACAAAGTTAAGTGTGCGCTGACATCATAATGTTGATTTCAATGTTTATAAGTACATATGTACATACGTATGTACATACATACATATGTAAGTGCATATGTCGAAAATGTGTTTACTGAATACATTCAGACAACCAAACAACGTGACTGAAATCGTTAGCAGCTAAACCAAGAATAGTAACAAACGGAGCTAAACTAGAGAGAATGCAAATAGTAGAAAAAATTATTTGACAGCAGTAAAATAATAGCTGGGAAGAAGGGAGAGAATGGCGCCGCTGGTGGAGTGACAAAGTGATCATTAAAAGCCGTCATCGATTCGCCAACAGTTAGCGAGTGGCGAAACGAACGAACGCAATGAGGTACAACCAAACTCGCTATCGTCTATCCGTGCTAGCTAACTTTGTTGTTGCTTTTACATGCAAAATTCTTCTTTAAGCGACCGGAACTCAAACATAGCGAGCGAGAAGTGGCGAATCGATGACGGCTAAAAATTCGCAATTCCTTCGTCAAGGCGATATCAAAACTTAAGGCATATCACAGCGCCCGGCAGTGCGCGCGAGTGACGAAAGCAGCCACAGTAGCATGCTGAAATGACTCGCTTATATATATACGAGATTTGGAAGTTTTTATCCAGACGTCCAATCGACATGTTTGAAATGACGTTGGAGAGGTCTTGCAGTGTGTCCAGAAAATGTATTGAAGCTTCATAAACAATTAACCGGATTCTTAAAAATGAGGCCAAAGTTTAAGGGGGTATGTGGAAACACCCAACATATTTAGCGTTATTCTATAGGTCAATACCTTTCCAACGATACCTTAAATACTAAGTTCCGGCTACTAGTTGGAAAGATATAGAGCTAAATGTGTTTTGGTTCGTGTCGCCACTACGAGATGCTTTGCGACGTGTGTAGTGTATGTACTTCCTTTAAAAAAACTAGGAAGGTTTTTTCCAGGATGTTTCGATTCGTAGGCCTTTGGGGGCGTGGCTGCTGCCCGAAATTCTAAAAAAGGCAATTTTTTAAACTACCACTGAGGGCACACTACTCAGTCCATGTCATTGGTGTTGATATCAGTAGAATGGTCTTAAAACAAGCTATCTAACGCTGTCTTTCGCGTTTGTAAAATATAAATATGTCATAATGTTATCGCCTGAAAACTAAAAATCGGGCTGCTGAAAATAGAGATTTCGAGCATTTTCTCAAAAACTGGTCAGTCGATTTTATTCTAAGTTTCCAAAAATCTAGCCCAAAACCTCAGCTTTCATCCGGTATACAGCTTGTATCTGGGAAAACTCTTGTTGTGGATATATTGCGATTCAAATTGAAAAAATGTCGCTCCAAAAAGGGTCAAATGGTTAAAAATAAACATATAAAAATAAACTATGAGACATTCAGACGAATACAGTTATTTATTGTATCCAAAGTTGGTACCAAATTGATAAGTTTTTATCATTTCTCATCATTTTTTTTAATTTTTTCGAATACAAAGGATATGATCATTCTTTTCGCTTTATTCCGTATTCGAAAAATTATATTTTGCAATGGACACATCGATTTGAATACATAATTTATGTTTAGATAATATTTTTCGCAATTTATTTCAGAAAAATAAAACATTTAGATTATTGTTTGTATTTTCGTCGATTTTAAATTGGCTACCCCAAAATAATCGATATCAAATAAAACACCTCTTTGAGGTAAAATTTTCGAGTGACGGAAGCTGAACCAGAAACACAAAATTTATGATATCAATTTCGTGACGAAAATTATACTCATCTTTTAACTGCTTTGGAAACGTACGGAAAATCTTTAACTAGTAACTAGTATTCAACTTGGTCCTTTAAAACAATATCTCAGTAGACTTCCTGGACCAGGAATTTTTGCAGAGTTGCGCCAATAAAAACGTTATGGCATCCGACTGGCATCTTCAAAAAACTATTATCCAAATGTTATAAATATCGAGAATGTTTCCTGTAGAATTTCTATAAACATATCTGTTACTAACTCATATCTAGCTTAAAATTGTAGTATCTCTTAGTTAATGATCTATCTGTAAATACACCACAATGTAAATAAGCTCTCAAGTTAGGAATAAGCTTGGAATGATCCATTAAAAGTAAATAGAAAACTTGAAATCATAAGTTACACTGGGTTCAGAATTCCAATGAGCCACAAAAACTACACCTACTATACATACATACATACATACATACATACATACATATTGTTCTTTGGTGTCCTGATTATAATTTTTAAATGGATAGTCATTCTAAAGAATATAGCTAACAACTCTAAACTGAATTGCGCAAATATTTGCACGTAGAAAAGCAAATTTTCAAAAGTATGTACATACATACATACATATATGTACATACATATAGCAGATACATAATTGTAAGCAAATTACAGTAGAGCTTCAATAAGTTGTAAGTTCATTCGAGCAAACGAATGCCAATTACTTACTACATATGTATATCGTCGTTTAAAGTACAAAACCGCGTATCAACAAAATGCAAAACCGCGTATGTGAATTATGTAAATTATTTTCTAGAGAGTAAAAACACTCATATTTCAAAATGGTTCTCTTTTTTATAAAGCAATCGCATTTCTGGCTAGTATATTTCAGGACGAATGGATAAGGATTGAGGCAAGAGCTTGTGTGAGGAAATCAAATTTTAGGCGGCAAATGTCAGTTACGCGGTTTTGCAGAATGACGATACGCGATTTTGTACTTTACGGGACGATATACACCGCATTTTGACAAGTGATAACATAATATTTTTTTTTGTATTTATCAGACGAATGGCAAATGGTTTTTATGACAAGTTGTATTTTATTAAATATTTTCATTTAACCTCATTTTATATTTTATTTTTCATTACTGTAATTCATTTCATTAAATTTTTTAAATTTTATTTTACTAATTGTTTTTTAAATTTATTTATTTTCTTTTGTGTTGATTCATTTGTTTCAATTCTTTTTTTTTTTTGTTTTTGTTATTAACTTCGATTCAGTTTTATATTCTTTTAATTAACTTCAGATTATTATTACAATTCGTTTTAACTATGTACATATGTATTTATGTGCGTTGACGTGTTGCTTGTATTCTTTCTCTTCTTCTACTTCTTTTTTTTTTTACTTTTCAGATAACAAGACACTGCTCCAGTTTAATTAAAAAACATGTCGAAAAAAGCAAAAAAAAAAACAAGAACAACAAAGCAACAGTCAGAGAGAGACTGATCGCCGTGCGTAATAAACATTTATTTATGTGCCTTCACATTTTATCAGCTCAGCGGAGCAGTTGGGAGCAAGAATGATTGCTTGAACCTAGTTTTTTAGTGTTTTACTGTGCTCAACAAGGGCTCTGAAGCTGGAGTAGGTTTGTGCATTTACATAAGTATTATGCAAAAATAGTAGTGTGGTTATACCTATTGGTATACAAATTTATGCCTTGATAAATTTAATTTAGAGAGCTGGGCAAATCACGAAAAATTGTGTGGCTTTGATTTTTGTACTACATATATTGTATGTATGTGTGTATGTACATATAGGTATGTAGGTATGCATATAAAGTTGAAAATAATTCATACTTTATTCACCACAGATAAACCCAACTTCTAAACACTTAATTAAACCTTTATACATATGTGCAATAGACTGCATCACCAAAAAAAGGTGAATTTTTCCACCAGGATAGAAAAATGTATTATATTTGAAGACGTCAACCAAAATATTTCAGAAAAATATTAATATTTACGTAAGTGGGCCCGATTTGAAAATACTTTCAAAAATTAAGCTTTTTATGATTAAAAATAGTTTTTGAAAGTATTTTTTGACAAAACAGTTTAAGCTTAAAAAATTTGCATCAAAATATTAAAAAAAAAAAATTCCAACGGAATAATAATAATGACCTTTTTCAAAAATTGGTTTAAGAAAAACTTGAATAACTTAGCCAAAACTTTACCGACTTAGACTTATGAGCAAAGATTGAAAATTACTCTCTCCACTTATTTTGTACGATGTTTATCACTGACACAAACACACATCTCTCAAGAGTGTTCTTCATCGTGCTAAAACACTCTGTGCGATCTTTTTGTGTGTTTCTGTTGTGGATTATTTATCAATTGCTTAAATTTCCCTTAGTATGGGGAGTGATACAGTCTAATGTACATACATAGATACATATGTACATACTTATGTACAAAATAGTTGACCCTAGTTCATTTTCCACGTGTTGCCGCTGGCGTTTATTAAATTTATCTCATTAACTCTTTACTAACAAATATTGCTCTAGTTATTAACAGATTTACTTAGTAAAAGGCGCTTAGTCTCATTCGCTTTTGTTCTTCTTTTCTTAACTCAATTCGAACAAAAACAAGCTGCGTCTCTCTGCATCCAAGGCAAACGCTTGCTTAAAGTGCTCCAGTTTTCGTTGTCTAACTCTCTTTTTAGTACTCTTCGTCTTAGTTGTTCACTGAAAACACTTTCTCTTTCCCTCTCTCGCTCTTTCCATATTTCCCTCCTTCTATCTTTATCTCCCTTTGTAAACACACGGATGGGGCTTTAACTGCTTTTGCAAACACTTGGAGCCTAAACTTATCAGCTGATCTAATTAAATTTGCGTTTTTTTTCATCTTCGCGTAAATTTTAAAATTAAATATAAAAAAACCTTCAAAGTCATCAACACTTAGCTATTGCATATTAGCATATATTTTGTTTAAAACTACGATGTTTCTCAATGTACACATTTACTCACATTTCGATGTTGCTTCACTTATCAAATCCAATTCAGTAGTTTAAGTAGCGCAGTTTAATAAACTTCAAACACGTTTCTTTGGGTTCTATTTACTGCTTATTTTTCTCCGTTTACAATCTGTTCAGCACTTTTATTTTGTTCGTGCTTTGCTATCCACTTGTTAATGCATTATTACCACAATACGAAGTCTCTCATTTTCGCGCTCTTTCTTTTTTGGTATCTTTACTTAATTCATTTACTTTGACTGGGCAGTTCGATATCAACGCGTGCTTAATTTAATACACAGTAAACCCTAGTTTACAGTATACATTAGTCGTGAACCATATTTTGTAAATTTTTTTGGAAAACTGTTTAAGTTCTAAAAGAAAAATTTTTATTTGTAAATATACTATTTATGTCATTTGGCAATTTTCACCAAATATTTCAACGAAAAAGTGAGTAATTGATATATGGTTCTTGTAGTGCTGCTAGTTTAAGTTAAAAAATAATAGTTCAATTGTAGTGGACGTACAATTGATAAGCGTAAACCCGATGTGATTACTGAGGATATTCTGTATATATGGTATATATATACAGTATCGGTCATATCTATAGCACGATATTTCAAAGTGATGTTGTGTGCCACATATGCTTATTTATTTATTTTTAAGAATTTTCAATTAAAATACAGTTCTTTCTCTAATAAACCCCATATAAACCCAAGTTTAACAATTTGTAGAAATCTTAAAAAAATGGCAACAAATTTTCACATAAGTTTCGAACTTTTTTCTCGGAAGTGTTAGATTTTTTTGAACACAGTTTTTTAGCCACTGCAATTTTAGTGCAAATTAATGTGCAAATATCAAGTGGCTACGAATTACCGTTAATTTTTTAGAATTTTTTTTGTCGCATTGGCTTTCATATAATGAATAAACTCAATTTATTTGTATACGGATGAAAACCGCAACACCTTTGGCGAAAAAAATTCTAAAAAATCAACGGTAACTTTCAGTCACATGAAACTTGCACATTATCAGACTAAAATTGATTGAGTTATAAAACTGTGTATTTAAAAAAATTCAAACACTTCCGAGAGAAAAGTTTGAAATTTGGGTGAAAATTTGTTGCACTTTTTCGAAGTTTTCTGGGTTTATAAACCCCATTAGAGAAAGAACTGTATTTTAATTGAAAATTCTCAAAAATAAATAAATAAACATAAATTGCACACAATATCACTTTGAAATGGCGTGCTATAGATATGACCGATACTGTATATATATATATGTGCATATACCCGGCGAAAAATCGAACGATTTAAAAACTAACGGCAAGTAAAAGAGCAAACAGTCAATCCCTAAGCTGTGCTCGAACTAAAAAAAAATTTTTTTTTGTGGTGGAATCTGGAAAAAAATGTGTTAGATTTAAAAAATAACTGGTAGATCTTCGTTTTAAGATAGTTTATTATTTATTTTTCCTTTTTTTATGAATTACGAAAAAGAAAATATAAGTACTTATAATGTCGGAAAAATTCTCTACTTTCTGGAATGCGCTGACTGTTTGTTTGTTGACAGGAGATACTTCGTCTTGTCCTCGTCGATAAATGTGTATTCCAATAAAAATACCGATCATTAATATCAATTAGTATATCGGTAACAATATTGATAAATATATCAATAAAAATATCGATAAATTTTTTGATAAAATTATCGATTATTATTTGGATCTTGTTATCGATTATAATATCGGTAATTATATCGACAATAATATCGATTACTTTATCGATAACACCACTGATAATCGTATCGATTATAACATAGAAAACAAGACCGATAATTTTAACGATTGCAAAATCATTAAATTTATCGATAAATATATCGATATCAAGATCGACAAATATAACGAAAATTACGAAATAGTCCTTAAATTATGAAATAGTCTCAGGAATCCCGAATAGTCTTAAAGATGATCAAAAAAATAAAAATTACAAAATAACGATTAAAAATTATCAAAAAACTAAAAATCCCATAATACGGATTAAAATTATCGAAATAATGAAAAGCATTAAAAATTTAAATTACAAAATAGCGATAAAAAATTACCCAAAAAATAAAAATCATAAAATAACGATTAATTAATGATTTTTATTATAAAAATCATAACGGTTACGGTCCCTGGGAAAAAACTACTCAAAAACGCGAATATGTATGTGGTAGATTTAAGACATTGTGTAGTAAATGCTCCAAAAATTTATACATTTACCATAATATGGTAGAAGTCCGAGCACTATCTCTAAGAGAATGGACAATAACTTATATCAGCATTATCAGCTGTTAATAGGTTTTGCTTTATTTTCGGTAATATGGCAGTATCAAAAGGTATCTCAAACAACCCGAACTAGGCTGGACCATAACGCCTCCGAACGCTAATTTAAATAGATTAGGATGCAATAGTTCTAAATTTGTTTTTGCTTGGTTAAGTGCATACATACATAGAGTAGAAAGAAGGTGCAAAGCCATCTTATTCAGCTAGCGCGGAATTTAAATTTGATAATTCACTGGAGCCTTAATTTTTCAACCATTTTGTTTTTTTAATTAAGGCTCATAAAATTAGCAAGAGACCAGTTGAGCCCGAATTTTTAATTTGCTCATATTAAATATTTTTTGTGCAAAGTGCGTGAAAAGTTGCAATTTTGAAGAAAATCGATTCTTCTGTTCCACTTAATAAATGTTTCCTAGTAAAAAAAACTGTAGGATTTCCCAAAAACTAAAATATTTCACAAGAATTTGAGGTGATATAAAAAAAATTCACCAAAATTTAATTAATTTTTAGAAAAATTTTGGGTCAGCAGTTTTATAGATCGTTAAATTTCAGTACAGTGCAAGTTGCAAGTGATTAAGGGTTCGCGTTGATTTTTAATAATTTTTTTCGCCCAGTCAAAACTAATTTGTCCTAAGTCCAGGTTTGGTCGGTAACATATATGTTATTAAAAATCAGCGCGATCTCTTAGCCACTTGAAACTTGCACTAAAATTTCATCATATCCAAAGCTGCACACCAAACATTTTTCTAAGAACTAAAAAAAATTTAATTTTGGTCTTTTTTTTTATCATTTCAATTTTGTTTTGAAAATTTTTCCCCCCTTTGGAGGAACCCTACAATTGATTTCAACTAGATTTTAATATGTAGCATTTACTAATTGGGGCACGAGAATCGATTTTCTTCAAAGCTGCTAGAGCAGCACTTTGCACCAAAAAAATTTAATACCTACAAGGAAATTAAAATTCATAAATCGAACTAAACTGGTCTTTTGTAAATTTTGTAAGTTCTCATTAAAAAAAATAATAAATAAATAAAAGTTATAATCAAATTGAGTGAAAAATTAAGGCGCCAGTGCATTATAAACAGCAAAAGTCAGATTTGAACCACTGTGCAGCGGTAGTCCAATTATTATACCAATTCAAAGAGGTTTTAACACGAATACAATTTGAATCGTATTTAAATTGGAAATATGGATGCATCACCGCTGCACAAGTAGTAAATGAATTCACTAACTTAGCAATTAGCAGTCAACGAACTAAATTGCATATTCTGTCTTTTCCATCTCCTCTAATACTGCCTATAAACCAACTTCTACGCGAACGAATCCATTTTGCACCAGTTTGAATATAATAAAAAAAATTTGGTAGCATTTAGCCATAGTATTTTCGCCGTGGGGTTTGACCATATGGATGTAGTTTTATAAATGTATGTAAACAGTTGTAGATACAAGCAAATAAGCGCGGTAGTTACACATTAATTGGCTTGAGTTTCTCACTCACTTCACTTTTGCATGCACACATATGTATGTGCAAAATATTTGTACGTACATATATACATATGTATGTATGTTAGTATACATATTCGTATATATTTATGTACATTGGTAGACAAATAATAAAACTCAAGCGGACGTCCATATTTTATTTTTTATATTGCTCATTACGAAACATCCCGATTGTCACATAAATATATATGTACAAAACTGAACGATTTCCACATACGCCGAATAAAATATATCATATATTTTAACATAACACGGCACTTTTGCCTCGGGTATGGAGTAAACTTTTATAGACACCTTTACATGTTTACTCTTTTATAATAAAACACTTCAATTTAATATAAGTACTAGCACCAAAAGCACTTCGATCTACTCTCGACCATAAAAAGACGGCCTCTCTCACTGGCTTATATGTACATACGTATACATGTACATATATGTAATATTCTTTTAATCTCGTTTTTCAAACAATGTAGAACCTCGCGCCGCGTAAGAATGCTTAACTGTTTTACTCTGTTGTTAAGTTCAAATTGTTGTGGCAGTTAATGGGGATGCCTCCTGCGCAGGCAACTGGCCATAGCGCTTGCCGTTCGATGCTCCAAATCGTAGGCCTCGTTGCTCACCAAGTAATCACCGAAGAGAATGTAGATAAAGACTGATCAAATATACGGAAATATCTCTTACTCAATTGGCAAAAGAGTTCGCAATGTTGGAGAGCACGTTGGAGCGTACCGGTGAACGAGTGAGATCACTTCGCAATCTTCATTGGCGAAACTCAGTGCGCTGCAAATATCAAGTATCAGTCAACGGCAATAAACAGAGTGATTTTCAAACTTGAATCGAAAAGCTTTTACCTTGAAATGTGCTTTAAGAAACTAAGTGAATTTCGTCGTGAAGTGTGTAAGAATGTGAACTAATTCGGGCGCTCAATCAGTGCTTCCAACCACGGTTGCCGTTTTGCTCCATTTATTTTCGTTTGGTCCATTGGTCCAATTCATTTTAAAATGGTCCATTTCACAAACCTTGGGTTAGGTTATTATTACCCTTTCAGTTTATGCAATAGTTTCGCGTTTTCAATTTTTTCTATTTAATTGATCCGCCCCATGTTGAATATCGTCATGTGTAAAAGTGACGATACGGTCATCGTCAGCCATGTTACTGATGCGCTGACGATGACGATGACGATGACGATGACGACGCTAAAAGTGTGAACTCGCCTTGCCACTGATCTTCAAATATGGCATAGCACGCTTTAAAAAAATATCGCTGTTTCTTGCTAATTTCAATAACTCGGTGACCAATATTAAAGTGGCTGGCAAAGATATGGAAAGGTAGCAAATTTTCAATCAATCGAAAAAAGTTCTGCATTGCTAATGATGCATACATAATGGAATTTCAATTTCGCAAACTGAGGCTCAGTAAAGGTAACTTCAAAAACTTTACCAATATAGAACGTTTTGGGAGCAAGTAAGTTTGATTAAAAATTGATTGGGTGAAGCGGCCTTTGGAGGATTGTGTGATTTAGTTCATAACATTTTTAGTCGGCCTGACAGTTCCGCAGCTGCTGAGCGCAAATTTTTTGATTTAGCATTAATAAAAATGAAATTAAGAAAGAAATTATAATTTAAAACAATACAATTGTTATGCACTTTGGATGCGATATAAAAAAAAAATCGTTATAAAAACTGAATTGGCATATTTTCTTGATAAAGAGGAATAAACTCCACTCAATTTCTCCATGTAATAAGAATTGGTCAATTTTTTACCATTTGGTCCATTTTTTGGACCGAAAAATAAATTGGAAATGGCAACCGTGCTTCCAACTGGCAAACCGCGCAATCGGCGAAGTTGGGCCAGTTACTCATCTCGAGCAGAGATAGCTCCATCTGCACTTGGCCCTGTCACTAGCTCATTGTGTTTGTTGCGCTATTGCTTTCGTTGTCCGCAGATGGGTGCTAAGTCGAAAGATCTTTTCATATAATAATTCTTTCGAATGCCCCCAGAAGCAAAGTATGACAACAGTTATTTCTTTATATCCATTGTGTTAAGACCGACGTTAACAATGCAGTCTGTTGTTGTCGGGCTCCTTCTTGTGAACTGAGATTTTAATTGTCGGCCATGTATTCATTAGACAAAATTTTACTCAAAAGCAGGTACATGCTCTCTGCCTGGTCTGCGCCGCTAGACTTGAACAGCCGATCCAGTAAACCATCAGCCTCAGAGGCTTTGTTGTTTCTAAGCCGCATTATTGCATTTTTCACCGCGGTTATATGTCATCAAACGCGCCACCTACCTCGCCATTTAAAAGCGCCACCTATCTCGACATTCAAAAGCGCCACCTATCTCGCCATCCAAAAGCGTTGATAAGTGTTCCCCTATATCTTAAGTTTACTCTGGGCGCCTGTTACCAGAATTCCATTCTTATCTTTTCATAAACTAGCGCCAGTCTAAAACGATTTCATTGGCGTCTCAAGCCAGCATCTAAACATTCTAAAGCTTTTCGCATTCATGTCTGTCTTCCTCTTGAAAATGCGTATATTCTATAAATCAGAGTTGGCCAGCGAAAGCTTTTATTTTGTGCCAGCCGTATGCAAATTTTACAGAAAGCTTTTAAAAGCTTTGGCACGCGTGCCTATGAAGTGGCCAACACTGCTACAAATTGTAAAGGTATTTTCTGTGTGACATCCTATCAACAAAACAATAAAGACATAATTTTCTTTAAATATAATATAAGCCAACCTGTACTTTGCACAATTATTTAAGAAGCAAAAGCATCAAAAAAAAAAATTAATCTCAGTATTTCTTCTCATGCGGCTTTCATCAACCAAAAGTAGCCGCAGTCAATTGGTGCCAATTATGCCGGTACTGAATGGATAAAACCCAGAAAGGGCAATGCCGCACAAAAAATCCAACTTATTTTTAGCATTTTGAAGACCTCAAATTTTAAATTTTGCTGCGACTCGTGAGAGATGTAACTGAATGGATTTCGCGCCGTTTGCGGTACAAATTTTAATGCACACATTTGTGTTGTGTTTACATACGGGTATGTATTTAATTTTATGGCACTGATGATTTCAATTCAATTTTGTTTGTTCCTACTCAGTTTTGTGTTAAAGTAATTATACCTGATAATCAACACATATACATGAAATTATGAACTTTTAATTAACGTCAAGAATTCCAGCGATAAGATAAAATCATCAAGACAAGTGTGTGTTCAGCAGACGGACAACGAATAACGCTTAAAAGTATGCAAGGTTTTTACTTCAGCTTTCATTTTATTGCATTTAGCTGAAAAATTAGCACCAGCTTTTTAACCATGTACGTGTGTGTGTGTGTGTATATGTATGTGCATTAGGGTGGTCCAAAAATGCATGTGAACAAGTAGAGTCGGAATTTGTATGCTCTCACCCCCCTAGGATTGTTCTATACCGAAAAAATATACCCTAATTTTTTTATTTTGAAATCAAAAAATATTTAGAGGTCGCTCAAAGCGCCCAAAGTTTTCCATGTATTTTATATGGGGAAAAACAACTTTTCGTAAAAATGGTATAGAATCATATATGTAATACTTCTATATTAACGGCAAGCTAACTTCTCAATGTGTAGGCATTCCGAAATCAAAGCGTGACAGTCTAGTACCGTTTTTGTCAATGTATTGTGTACTTGAGTGCCGTTTTTGTATATGTATTGTGTATATGTTTATTTATAAACTTATGTGTTCCTTTTCTTTCGTACGTGTTTATTGATATAACTGCACTGTAGTGTTTTCGGACGGTACTAGCTCTTACTGCCAATATAGAAGTATTACATATATGTATAGAATAGTTGAAAATCAATATTTTTCTACCAGAACTCTGTTCATCTGCAGGAAATTCGCAATAATAATACCCAATTGTTTATTTCACCATATTTTCATTGCAGCTATATAACTTATAGGTCANATAGAATAGTTGAAAATCAATATTTTTCTACCAGAACTCTGTTCATCTGCAGGAAATTCGCAATAATAATACCCAATTGTTTATTTCACCATATTTTCATTGCAGCTATATAACTTATAGGTCAGCTAAAACCCCGAAAAATGCAATAGGGCGACCAATAAAAATCGTTAGTATTAAAAATGGTTAAGTAAACAGTTGGGTATTATTACTGAAAGTCTCCGGAATAGAAGCAGAGTGTTTCGATCGAAAAATATTGATTTTCAAGAAATCTATACCATTTCAACGAAAAATTTTATTTTTCCCATATAAAAATACATGGAAAACTTTGAAACAAAAAAATAAAATTTAGGTGTATACTTTTTTCGATATAGAACAACCCTAGGGGGTGAGAGCATTACAATTCCGACTTTAGTGTTTTTGGAGCACCCTAATGTGCATGAATTCTATGTACATCAACTGCCTCAAACTCCATCCAAAGAAACACCTTTTTTTGCTACCATTGATATTTGTGTTAATATAGTGAATATCGTACATACGTACAGTGTTGGAAAAAATAATAGAAACAACTTATTGAAAAATATTAAATCTATTATATCAACACTAGTTATCGCACCCTGTACAAATATCAGTTAGAGGTTGTTCTTTTGCAAAACATTTTATTCCGCTAGTCTGTCTCCTTTTCACTTTATGTGCGAGAGCTCTACGTTCCGCTAAGTTAAGTTGCCATAATCAGGCTTTAAGATAGCAGATATGGTGTTCACTGCCCTTCATAACGTTGAAAACCAGAAACACGACGTAAAAAACAAAAAATTACTGCTGGCGATCAAAGGCGTTTAATTCGACATTACAAAGTTAACCTCCTCAAGAGAGCTGAAAACAGAATTCAATTTAGATGTAACAAGCCGAACCATTAGGTACAGATTGGCAGAAGCCAAACTTCCAGCCAGAATCCCTAAAAAGGTACCATTGCTGAGCCTTAAAAACCATAACAACAAAGTCGGGCCTTTCAAAGCCAGCATAAAAAGAAGAATTATTGTGGCGTCACATTCTAAAATCGTGGTAGTCCATTCCGAAAAGTGTTTTTGTAAACTTCGTCAATTCGATGCACCGACTATGCGAAGAGGTAATCAGGCAAGGCGGCGGTTCAATAAGCTATTAAAACAATAAGATTTTTGTAAGAATTTTTGGGTCAAAGTTCAATTTATTTAGAAATAATACCTTGTTTCTATTATTTCTTCCAGGTCAAAATTTAAAAATGGGACGCAATTTATGTATGGCTTATTGCACTTGCTAAAGAAGTCTAGATTTTAATTAACGTAAACAAAATTTACGAAATCGGAATATATTTAAAATGAAAGAGTTTTTCAAACAATAAAAAATATATGAAAGCTGTACGTTTCTATTATTTGTTCCAATACTGTATATGTATACTAGTGTTTCCAGATTTTTTTTCCAGCCAAAAATACGGGATTTACAAAAATTTAACGGGACAAATGAGAAATAAAGAATTTGCTTTAAAAGCCAAACTACGAACCATATATTAACAAAGATGATCCTTTTCAACGAAGTGATGCTCAGCTTAGTAAAAATTTCGTTTATTTCATGGCAACACTTTTAATTTATACAAAAATATACCATAAAAACAAAGTAACAGATACAGTTGCGGTCAAATTAATAGCAGCAAAATTCAAAATGATGCTGTTGGCAACTTCTCTTTATTTATTTATTGTTAATAACTCTCGTTTAAAATATGGGTCCATCTATAGCAGATACCACATAAATTAAAGTTTCAAAAGCTTGCAAAAAGTTTACCAAAATTAATTAAACTTAAAAAATTTTCATAAAAATTTCGATATTTTAATCAGATTTTCTAGAAAGATTTCGAGTATGCGGTTTTATAGGTGCAAGTTTCAAGTCGCTAAAAATTACAATTGACTTTTTAGATTTTTTGTGGAGGGTGCTGCGCATTTTCTTTCCTATAAAAGTCAGTTTTGTTCATGCATTATAAGGAAGCAAATTCGCAACACTCTCCGCAAAAAAAATCTAAAAAATCAACGGTAATTTTTAGCTACATATATTTCTCTTACAGAGTTGCATGCAATAATACTTGCTAATAACCTACTCACAATAGCCGCGTGAAACCATGACCATATTGAGTAGAAGTTTGCAGGTTAAAAAGAATAATGAGATTGTCGCCGAAAAAAATCTTTTCCCGGAGGAACATTTCAAATTTAATGCAAAATACGGGTCGTCCCGGCAAATACGGGACATTTGGCAACACTAATGTATACATACATACGGGCATACATTTGAATGCGCTATCATGATATCGCTGTTTACATCAATTATAAACGCCAGCAAAAAAATGAATAAAAACAATGGTAACACACATTTCTTTGTAAAGTTAATTGATTGTACTTATGCGCCGTGCCAAGCCTAAAATAAAATTCCATAGTCAACGCTAAGGCCGACTCGTATTCTATAAAATTCGCAAAAATGTGCAACTTCAAACTTCAGTTGATCAAAATCATTGAAAAGCAACATTCTAAGATGTGGCGACTTATTGTTCCAATCGCGTTTTTCTGTACCGGATTCAGCTTCGACATTGAAGATATATCGCAGACGGTCAGTTTTGAAACGAACTTCGTGCCTTCATTTCAATACTTTATTTTTAACCGACTTCACAAAACGGAGAACGTTATAAATTCGTTGGAATATTTTTTTGTTTTTTTGTTTTTTTATGTACGTTACCGCATAACTCTGGACCCCGTCAACCGATTAATAATCGATAATTCTTTTTCTATTAATTTTAATTTGGTTTAAATGCGATCATTGGCTCATAAAGAAATTAACGATAATCTTAAATTTTTATATGAGAATTGAAGTCGGTTTTGTTTTTTGCTTAAAAATTACTTGTATTTTTATTTTTCACCACTTTATTTCATTTCAATACCATTTTTTATTTCTAATATTCCTATATAGATCTGTAAAAATGCCACTGCTGGCGATGTTGTCCCGAATCCACAAGATTGCAGTTCATATTTCATCTGTGACAAAGTTCCATTGATAAGCTTCTGCGATGTTGGACTACATTTTGATGCCAAATATAAAGTCTGCAACTGGCCTGCCTTGGCGAAATGTCAAGTAACTCAGGTACTTTTGATTCGTTTTTTACTTTACTGTGTATCGATTTGAATTTCAGACTAATATCGTCCAGAATAGCGACCCTCAAGTTCAGCATAAGCAGGCCTCTGTCGTAAGAATGACAAAAAATTCAACTGATTCAAAAGCTGAGCTTAAACCGGATGATGAGAAGATTTTCCTAGAACACCCATCTACGCGACCTCAGCTCGCCTTTATCGCTTTAGACGTGCATACTCATAGTCCCATCGATCCATTGGCCTACTATGATCCGGAAAATGTCACATGCCATCACTATGGCATCTATTTTCTGCCGCATCCCACCGACTGCAGCACCTATTACGTGTGTGCCTTCGGTCACATGTTAGAGCACAAATGTGGCCGCGCCACAGGCTGGAACTACAAGCGCCAAGTGTGCGATATTCGCCCGTTTGCCGAATGCTTTAATGGCACTACTTTCCCGAAGAGCACTACACAAATATTGGGGGATGCTGCGACAACTAAAGATTTATTAGATGGCCAATCGACCGCCTTGCCGCCAGATAATGGCGTGTACACAGTATGCTACATTTTAAATAACGGTATTGCCGGACCGCTAACATGGATGCCACAGCCAACAACAGACATAACTCCAAGTGTGACATACAATGATCAGCAGTTCACTCCTGCTGCAGCTTCATCCACGGGAAGGGTAAAAACCGAAGTGAATGAAGTACCTGATTGTCCCAAGGACGTGGATGCGTATTTTCCACACGTGGAGGATTGCAGCAAATATTATATATGTATAATCGGTATGCCAGTGCTAACATCCTGTCCGGAGGGTTTGTATTGGGATCAAAAGGCGGAGGTTTGCGATTTATCTAAAAAAGTGTACTGTCCGCAGCAGAAATCCAAGATTAATATTTTTTAACTGACTTAAGTGCCTGTGAAATTTTTGAATAAAATTAAGTGCCACAAAGGTTGACAGTCTTCTTCCTCATAACTGGTGCTGTGCCAGCCAATAGGAAATGTCAAGTAAAGTCAAGTACTATTCCACCTAGTATTTCCAAAATCTTCTGCAGAATCTTTCTCGAACACTCCAAGAGTTCCTTCATCAGATGTTTTGCCTACTCAGTTAAAGTTGACAGTATGGACAGCAATAACCGAAACTGTTTGACGTCATAATTAATTACAAAAAATTACAAAGCATAACATTCGAATTTTACGAGTATTTTGCTCACGGGCTATTCGTACCTCGTCATGGTCAGGCGGAGGAACATCGACTCCATCATCATCAACTGGGTTTCGGATTCGTCTTCTCCACAGCTTTCAGTGCTGCTACTATTCAGTAGGATACAAAAGTGTTCCCTCCATAATTTAAGTTCGTTCTGGACATTAGTCACCAGGTCACCATTGTTGTTCGCCCTGGTCTTAAAACCTACCTCTCTGATAAAATTTTCGGACATTTTTCCCGTCGGCCAGCATTTCAAGCTCTTCGCACTCACGTACTCCGGCCTCTCTCTTCTTATTGCGGCAAATACGTCTCGCTTCCCTCTTCAGCTCCCTATAACGGTCCCACATGGCTCCCTGTAGCTTCTTTATACTCCTCATCGTACCAGTTGTTCTTTCGGGCTCGCTGAAATCCGACTACTTCGGCGGCGGTACTTAATGATCGGGAAATGTGGTTCCGCTGCTCGCATATGTCGGCTTGTTGAAGAGTGCTCTCAGAGAGCAGGTGTGAGAGTCGAGTAGCGAACTCATTGGCCGTCTGTTGTCATTGCAGCTTTTCGACGTTAGGCTTTCCTTGCATTTTTGTNCGCTGAAATCCGACTACTTCGGCGGCGGTACTTAATGATCGGGAAATGTGGTTCCGCTGCTCGCATATGTCGGCTTGTTGAAGAGTGCTCTCAGAGAGCAGGTGTGAGAGTCGAGTAGCGAACTCATTGGCCGTCTGTTGTCATTGCAGCTTTTCGACGTTAGGCTTTCCTTGCATTTTTGTGCGCACATTTTTTGCTGCACAGAGGCCGGTGCGTATCTTGGCTGCAACATGAAAATGGTCTGAGTCGATGTTGGGCCCTCGGTGTGTACGAACGTCTAAAACACTGGAAGTATGCCGTCCGTCTATCAGAAGATGATCGATTTGGTTTCTCGCTTTCCGATCTAGGGACAGCCACGTAGCTTGATGAATCTTTTTATGCTTAAACCTAGTACTGCATACTACCACGTTTTGGGCCACGGCGAAGTCGATCAGCCTCAGTCCGTTGTCGGACGGACGTTTCGTCGTGGTGGCTGGATTTTCTGACGATGGTTCCAAAGATTCCTTCCTTGTCCACCCTGGCGTTGAAGTCGCCACGCACGATTTTGATATCACGGCGGCGGCAACGCTCGTATTTGCGCTCCAGGCGTTCATAAAATAGATCTTTGGACGTCTCGTCCTTCTCTTCCGTCGGGCATGGGCGCAGATGAGCGAGATGTTGAAAAATCTCTCTTTGATGCAGATTTTGGCTAGACGCTCGTTCACCGGGGTGAACGACATAACTCGGCGAAGGAGTCTCTCTCCAACCGCAAAACCAACGCCGAAATTGCGCTCCTTTACATGGCAGCTGTAGTAGACTTCACAAGGCCAAAGATATTTTTTGCCTTGCCCTCAAATCGTAGTCCTTTAAACTTTTGCCGTGGTTGTCATCAAAATGGGGGTCTCATCCGAGGCTTTGGTGTTATTTTTCATTGGAGCCTGCCTTACGTGGCGGTCCCAAACCCAGCGCACAACCCATTGTTGTGACGGGGACTTTTTAGCAACCAAATACACGTTTATATAGCAAGCCGCTTGCTCCAAGACAGACACCCACTTGCAGCCGCAACTACTGGTTAACAGACGCTGCAGACTTCGGTTAGCCCTTAGACCGAATATGTCAGAGTTGCCCCAACGAAGCTCCCTCTCTTTCTGTCGTGACCCAAGGCTCCACTCGGGCTGGTTACCGCATCTCGCACATGGGTTGCTCACGTGGCCCAGAGTGCGCGAAGGAGAACGGAGGAGTCGGGATTGAGTATAGCCGTGCAACTGTAACTGCATTCCCAGCGCAACGACCACACCACATTGCACTCCATTTCTCCGTTATAGCTGTATAAATAAAGAAGTTTTAAAGTAAAATCCCATATCATATACAATGACCCGATCTTTGTCATTTTTGCCTTGCCTTTATTAGCTTGGGATGTAACTATGTAATATTGATGCGCCGAAAAGGTGCAGCGATTTCCATTCTCAAGTTACATACCTGATAGGAATCGTTATATAAAAATTATATATGTAAAATGTATGCGTATCTTCTTTCTTGGGTAGGCGGCCTTTTTACAGTTAGCTGGTAGTAAAGGTACGTAAACACGTTAGTTACTTTTGTTAAAGTCGAAGTGTTGTTTTTATATATGTACATGCATACATAAGTTTTGCCCAATATTGTTACGAATATTCAATATTGACAGACTTTCTGTTGGCACCTAAGCCCGAATTAATTCCCAACAGTGTCGTAAGTGTCCTATTGTTGTATGTCGTAAACTTTAAAATCTTAAATAAATGTTTATAAAAAATTAACCCACAACCAACTATTTTTTAACACTGCGAAAATTCATAAAACGACTTTGATGGTACCTTGCGAACCCCTGTAATATTCTTTTTAGGCGTTTAAAGTTGTGAATACCGCAACAGTTAAATTCAGTGATTGGTTTGTTTGTTACTCATACGCCATGTATCCACGCGTAAATATTAGGATTGTTTTTGACATTTCCGGGCTAGTTTCGCGCAAATGAGCCTAAGCACGAAATGCTCTCACAAAAGTGAATAAACTCCCCAAAACCACGGGAACGGCAAAGTGGGTTCGTGCTCGAAACTAAATGTCAAATCGCACAAAACTATAAACTTTATATTTGAGCGGCAGCGAACACAATAACGATAAATGATGTTTTTGACTTATCAAACAGCTTAAAATACACATATTTATTGGTTAAAATTTGAATGTTAAAAATTCTTCTTCCGACAGTTTTCACAAACTAATAATAATAATAGATTGGCGCTTACACATATGTTAGTGTTTGGCCGAGCTTCTCCTCCGATTTGTGGCGTGCGCCTTGATGTTGTCACACAAAGCGGAGGGACCTACAGTTTTACGCCGACTCCGAACGGCGATTGTATTTTTATGAGAAGCTGTTTTTCATGGCAGAAATACACTCGGAGGTTTGCCATTGCCTGCCGAGGGACGACCGCTGTTAAGAAAAAACCTTTTTTCTATATTTTTGCGATGTTGCTTTGACCAGGGTTTGAACCCAGGCGTTGTGGAGTGGAAGCGCGCACTGCTTACCACTACACCACAGCGGCCGACAGCAGAGTTTTCACAAACTCGCCGGAGAAAAATAGACCGGGCGACTTCGGGCTAGTGAGGGCAAAAATTAATCTCTCAAAGTGGCTCTCAACAGCACGAGAACGAACTAAAGAAACACAAATTGGGCACTTTCGGGCGCTTGCGGCGACCAAACGAACAGACTAATTGATTACGTGAACTTTAAAGCATCTGGCGGAATCTATAAGCATTTGAATCTCAGAATCTGTTGGAAATCCCTATTGAAGGAGCTTACTATTTGACTTTAAGTAGCAAAGAAGGTAGACGTAGGGGGACAGTTTTACCACAGAAGTTTTTAGCCAAGGATCCAATGTATATCCCTATGAAACAAATATTGCCCGACAAGTAAACAAAATTACCGTTTTTTTTTAATTTTTGCTAAAAATAAATTCCCCAAACAGCCCCATTTGAAATAATTGAAACCAATATATGCAACATCAAAAGCATATCACGAAAATTTGGTTAGGAATTACAGTGCACCCTTTCTAATTTTACGTCTAGTAGCTTTATTAAGATTGGTCCAAAAAAATCATGACAAAGAACGAAACCAATGCAGGTATTTCAAGCACAGAAGAAAAAATTTAAAATGACTATGTTCTCTTTGGCGTAGGTCAAAGGTCAAGTAGAAGTGCGAACTTGTATGACTGGCCATTGATAGCTCGGTTATATAGCTTAAGAAATAATATGTTTAACGACATTTTTATCAAATTTGATAAATATGACATTTGACCAGTTTTGTTACATAAATACTCCCACGACCACAGGCAAAAATATTGGAATTTTAATGCTCTTACCCCCAAAAAAATTATACCCCTGTTTTTTCTTTTAATTTTGAAATCCAAAAATATTTTGAGGTCGTTCAAAGCGGTTGAAATTGTCCATGTATTTGATATGTGAAAAAAAAAATAAATTTATAACAGTTTTAGTATCGTTAGAAAGAAGATTAAATTCGCTTTCTTCCGATATGCATATTTGTATACTTCGTATATAAAAATTTTAGGAAAAAACACATTTAAATGAAAAAATAACTTTTTTTTTATAAAAAAATATTTAAAAAAAAGTTTACTCACCGACTTTTAAAAACTTGGTATTGTTGTAAAGGCGATTAAACGCCCTTTCTTATTATATGCATATTTGTATACTTCGTGAATAAAAAATTTGAGAAAAAACACCTAAGAGGAAAATATAACTTTTTTATCANTTTACTCACCGACTTTTAAAAACTTGGTATTGTTGTAAAGGCGATTAAACTCCCTTTCTTATTATATGCATATTTGTATACTTCGTGAATAAAAAATTTGAGAAAAAACACCTAAGAGGAAAATATAACTTTTTTATCAAAAAAAATTTTAAACAAAAAAATTACTCACCGATTTTTAAAAAATTTACATCGTTGTTAAGGCAATTAAACTCCCTTTCATCTAATATGCATATTTATATACTTCGTATGAAAAAATTTGAGAAAAACCACTTAAAAGGAAAAAATACCAATTTTTTCTTATAAGGAAAAAAAATTGCAGAAAAATTACTAATTAGTAGAATACCGTATTTAAATAAAACAACGAATTATTAGTGTTTTAAGCATTAATTAGTTCTTGTTCGCCCACAACCCTGTTAAAAATAAAGCAAAAGTTTATGTAACAGAAGTTTAAGGCATATAAAAATATATAAACACCATAGTTTTTGATAATTTACATAACAGGTTATATACGAAAATTAAAGGTAATTTCTGTTTTATTTAAATAAACTTTTTTTTTTAACTATTTTTTATAAGAACAAGTAAGAGAGTCTAAGTTCGGGTGGAGCCGAACATTAAATACCT